GGCATGTATGGGTAAGAAACTTTGTTGATTAATAGTTTTGTTGTAATAGAACATGATTTAGAACAGAATAGAAGAGAATTCTTTATTGGCCAAGTGTGATTGGACACACAAAGAATTTGGTGCATACTCTTTCAGTGTACATAAAGAAAAATAAAATAGAATACATTCATCAATTCATCTTTGTATATGAATTGGCCCACATTAGCTGTATTCTCACAGTTCTAACAAGACCTAGGTTAAAGATATCCAAGATTTTGTCTGTGTTTGACATGAAACCTGGGGCAAAAATAACTGATTACTTATAGTATTGTGCATTTTCTCACTGCCTGTTTTTTCCCCTATTGTGGGTAAATACCTAAACTAAATAATGAACATGGGTTATGTTTGAAATGGAATATTCTTGTAAATGGGAAGCTAGCATTTTTAATATCATAGGAAGGCACAAAAAGTTTTATCAAGCATTTGGTATATTCCACAGATATTGTATTTTTGAAGTGATGCAAATATAATGACTACCCAAATAAGTGGTACTATAAACTTTCAAATAGTGCCTACAGATTGTACCTCATCTCTGAAACACTTTGTAACACTTTTTCCAGTATGTCTTCAAAAACAGAAGTAACATAAAATGAGAATGCCTTTCTTAATTAGTTCTGATCCTGTACTCATCTATTATACTTTTAAAGGAAACCGTTGTCTTGGATTAATTTATACAATTTTAAATGCTAGGAAATATATTCCTTATGCCTTGGCAAAAGGGAAGAATATATTATTTATTTGCTATATTTTCTGTTATAACACTGTTCAGAAGATCCAAAATAATTAACACACAACACTAAGCTAGAAATTCTGTTTTGTTTAAAGTTCTCAATTTATCCCAAGTAAGAAAATGATTTTTTTCCCAATATACACAATGGTTATATTGTTTATAGCTGAACCTGAAATCTTGATTTATTCTTAGTTTAAGCCTTTTCCTAATTTGCAGAAGTGTGCTGCACAAAGAAAACGTTCAGCTAAATTACAGTTTCTTGCTTCTTTTCCCAATTCCTTCTTCTCTTGCCAGTAGTTCATGACTTGACTTTCTTTACTGAATCATGACTTCCAAACTTAAATATTGTCTCCATAAAGTGTAACAAAATTAGTTATTGTAGAAAACAAAATAATAGCACTACTCCCCTAGCAGTAGTGTGTTTTTTCCTCCCACAAATTGGCTTAGTATTCCATCTCTCAGGCTGGGGGGTGAAATTATATGCCCCTCAGACAGGGTGCGCA